CAAATTAAAATATGTGTTTCTCTGTCTTAGTAATGGCAGTAAATCTTAGTAAAGATCAGAAAAATATTTAAACTCTCTCAAAAGTATTTCTTTTGTTAATTAAAGGATAGCTATTTCATACTAAAGACAGGCTCTTTTCAAAATTATCTGGTAGAAGAGTCAATACATTGGAAGTCAACTAATAAAATCAGATTTGTGACAATTTTTACATAGTTCCAAATTTCTCCATTTGCATAAAAAGGACGTTTCTGCTATAACTCTGTTTAATCTGTTTCATTTTGAAAAGTTAATAAATTATGTAATAATCAAGTTGCTGATTGAGTTGGTCCTTTGCTTCCTTTACAACTTCCTTTCCTTGGCAGGGTTATTAATATACTTTTAACCCTCTGAATGCATAATGATCTTCAGAACCTCAGGTTTTAAAGTTGCAAGTACCATCCTCCATAATCTCTAATCTAGCTAAAAGGCTCAAATTCTTTTATGGACTTAACTCAGTAGACAAGTCTCTAGTCAACCCCTTCAATGGGAAATATAATCATAGGACATCCTAAAATTTGATTCCTATTTTAGCATGCCTCCAGGTCCTGATCTAATCCAGAATAGGTCAAACTAAAGCTTTCACAGCTTCATTTTTAAGTTTTAAATGATTTTAAGTCCATGTAAATTTGGAAATTACTAACAGTTTAGGTCTAGTCCAGGATTCATCCAAATTGCTTTGCTATTTTTCTCAGGCTTTTCCCAATACCAGTATTACAGCAATAGAAGACAACTTCTGCTACTCGGTACATGACTTTCTATTTTAGTCGTAAGGTATTAGTATATACAAACTCAATATAAAAAGATGGAGGCTTTCCCTTTTTTTGTAGGAAATGTGGACAAAGGTGATGTCATTCATTCCTATTGCTTTAAATTCCCTGTATTTATATCTCCAGTCCAGACTTTTCTCCGTAGTTCAAGCTTCTATATTCAATTCCTACATGAACAACTCTCCTGGTATTTCAAATTTAACTTCTCTGAAATTAAATTCTTTCTTCCTGCCTCTCCACCCCAACTTGCTTCTGCTCCTCCCTCAGCCTCCAACTCCCAATCTGTTCCTCCCCCAAACATTTCTCTGTAAGTCAATGGCTTCACTAGCCTCACTACTAAAGCCAGAAATCATGTAGTCATCTTTGATTCAACCCTATCTCTAATCTGATACAAGCAATCCATCAGTGTATTAGTTAACTAGGACTGCTATAACAAAATACCATAGGCTGGGTGGCTTATAAACAACAGGAATTTATTTCTCACAGTTCTGGAGGCTGGAAAATCCAAGATTAAGATCCTGACAGATTCTGTGTCTAGTGAGACTTCTCTTCAGAGATGGCCATCTTTTCACTGCCCTTACATGGAGGAAGTGGCAGAGGAGCTCTAAAGGTACTAATTCCATTCATGACCAGCTCTGCTTTCATGACCTAATCAGCTCCCAAAAGTGCCACTTCCTAATATCATCACCTGGGGGTTAGGATTTCATCATATGGATTGTGGGGTGGGGGCAGAGGGATGGAGGAGATACCCATTCAGGAAGCTCTATTTTTTTTCTTTAAACTGTGTCTTCAACCCATCACTTCTCTCCCTCTACCTCCTCTGTTAATACTCGAATCTATCGGCATAATATTTCATCTATGCTACTACAACAATCACAATTTTACTAGCTGGTCTTCATGTTTTCATGCTTGTCTCCTTCCAATCCTTTCTCCTCAAAGTGGCCAGTGACATTAATAAAAATGCATATCATATCATACAATTTTCCTGCCTTAGATATCTTGCTGGTTTTCTACTGGACCAATAAAATATAAGCACTTATCAATAAAATGTGAGCAATGATCTCTAAGATCTGGCTGTAGAAGCCTACTCAGATGTCATATTCTGCCTTTCTCTTTCAAACTCTAGTTGCACTGGCCTTCTTTCTATTCCTCAAACATGCCAAGAACTCTTTTATGTTAGGACCTTTGTGCTTTGTCTATAGTTCCCTTTCCAGGCTTCACATGATTAACTCCTTTGAATTTTCAGGTCTCATGATAAATGTTATCTACTCAGAAAGATCTTCCCTAAGCTCATCAGGTCTCTCTACCTTATCACTGTTTTCTCTTACACTGACATGTTTTCCTCTCCTAGCACTTATCTAAAGCTCTAATTATATACTTTTTGCTTTATTGTCTTCTCTCCTTAGAAGAGTTTATGTTCCATGAGATGGGTACCCTGCATATACATCTGTCATGCTGATGATCTTAACCTTAGAATTTATGACAGTAATTGATGATTGCTTAATATTTGTTTAATAAAAACCATAATTATTTGAAAGAATTGAAAGCCTGCTTATTTGAACATGGATTTTCTGATTATAGATTCTATGTTGTTTACACTCTAACATTTTGCTTATGAATCCATAGTGTTGCGTAAATATTTGTGATTGATACTAAAGTGCAAGATTTTCCAGATTTTTTAGATGTCACATACAAACTGACCATGAAGTTGGAAGAAATTTTACTTCTCTAACAAAATCATATTAATGTTAGCCCATGTTTTGGATTATTTTAAATTAAAATATAAGTTTCATATAAGTTTTTGCCTTCCTCTTCCTCTCTTTTCTTCCTCTGCCTGCCAGGCAGACAGAACCCCTGTGCCCAGATTGGGGGATGGCATTCAGATGGGGTGAAGAAAAACATTTCAGAGAGATATGCTTTATAGCAAGGCAATTCTGAGGAAAGTGTCTTAGGAAAATACCCGGTTAAATCCCAGGTGGCCTGTTCACATGAATCATATAGCTGCATAAGCAGCTCAACATGACCCTGAGATGGGGCTCGGCAGACCTGATCTAGAGAAGTTCAAAGGAGGGAAATTAGTCCAGAGTAAGTTGCTGAAGCAGATTTTAGATTTTTGATAGGTACCTACCCTCCTAGGTGGGCAAGATATGGTCAAAGGTGTTGGCTCAGCCAGCACAATTAATAACGGGTATGAGTTCCACTGGAAACAAAAGACTCCACAGGGTTCTGAGACTTGTGACCCTTGAAATCCTTGAACTCTGTATTCCTTTTCTCCAAAGCAAATAGTCTTTCAGTAGTTAATCATTTACCTTTTTTTCTTCTAAAAAATGTATTTCACATAGTCGATTTAATTTTTGTGTTTTTTTTTGTTTTGTTTTGTTTTTTTGCTTGTATATCAAATCTAGTGAATGCAAGTGGGGGTTGATGACATATTGATCTTCTAGGAGTTCTGTATGTCTATGGTGTTCTAGTTGCTATGCATTAGGGTGTCAGTTATAAATACAATGAACAACACGTATGTGGTAAGGCCCTGGCATTTCCTTTAGCACGGGGACCAACTTCAGCCAAACACTACTCAGCAAAAGCCAACAAGAATGGATAAAGATTATGCCAAGCTTCCTCCTTCCTTCCCTTACTCTTGTTCTCCTTCTTTCATTAATTAATTAACTCAATTTATTTAGCACTTACTGTGTACATTGTTCACTGCACAAAACAAGAAAAAAGATATAATCTTTCAAGGGTCTTCCAATTAAGATTTTATTTGAACAACAAAACATACTCACATGAAAATATAAATAAGGTAAAAGAAGCAGTGTAGTTTTTATGATCTAAAACAATATTTTTCGAACTGTAGGTTGCCAGTCATTCTTTGCTGGGTCATAAAATAAATTTATTTGGTTGGGACCATATTTACCAGAAAATAACAAATAAATAGGAGGGCAAAATACAAATATTAGTGTATACTGTAGGTAATAAAATAGATGTTTTCATAAAATTTTTGCAGGACAAATATATGTACTACATGCCAATGTAAAGTGTAGGCCATACTACAAGACAGGGTTAAAAAAATGTTTGAAGGACACTATACAGAGAAGTATAGAAGAAAGTCAGATGATTTCAAGTTGAATGGTTAAGGAAGGAAAGTTTTTGGAGGTGCATGAGTAAAGCTGAGAGGCGGTGGGATGCCTTTTCAGATAAAAAGCTACCGAAAAGAATTCTATAATTGTGAACTATAACCATAAAAGAAAGTGAAATCTATAGAACCAGCTATTCTTGAATGAATGACTACCCCAGGACCAACTATCTTTCCAGAAACTTCCAGGAAACACATGACCAAAATATAACTAAACTGAACTCTGATGCCACAAAGGGAAACTTAACAGAGTTGTTCCTGTGAAGTATACCCCTCTAGAAGGGTGCTTCAAAATATTCTTCTGTCCAATTGCATGTTACAAATACATAGATTTAAAAAATATGAAATATCTAAAGATTATTGTTCAACTCAATAAATTCAAAGTGATATTTTTCCCCTGTGTCCCTTGTATTAGATTCACTTGTGACTTACTGGACAGTGTTTTCTCTGAGCTTTATGGTCTAATATGCATTAAACAAAAATTCAAGGACTCAGAACTACTGATTTATTTTAGCATTTTTTTTAATACAAAAGAAGGAAATAAAAGAATAAAAGCAGTCGGGGTGGCCTCTGGAGAAGGGGAGCTGTTGTTGCCGGAATCTTGCGAGTTAATGAGAATTCACTCGGGACTCAAGAGCCTTGGAGAGAGGGAGAGAAAGGAGGAGATGGGGGAATGGGGTGGGGGGATAAAAACTCTTCCTTTGCAGCTGGCCCTTTCCCTCATTTGTTGCTCCAATAAGCAGTAATTAGGTCCTGAGCTAATGGTGTCAGCTGATCTGCTGTTTTTAGGCTAGACCCAGAGGAATCTCCATGGAAACCCTGCTGGAGTCGTCCCCCCACCTGGATGCTGCGCGCTCCTTTCTGCCACCTGGCTGCCGCCGGGCCCGCTGCTACCTCCTCCTGCCTCTAACCTGCAGCCTGCAGCATGCGCACTGCCCCCGGGATCCCTAAATGGGACAATTCTGCCCGTGACGTCAGCGCCCAGCCGTCTCCACAGAAACTTTTGTCCCATTGGCCAATCAGAGAGCTTGGAAGGGGCCGGGAAAGGTGGGGGGAGGAGAGGGGAGTGGGAGGGGTGGGGGGTGAGGGGAGAGGCGAGAGGTTTAGTGTGTGGAGCTGCCTGCGCTCCGCCCGGGCTGTCAGTCCCGGCTCCAGCCGCCGCGAGACCTTCCCGGAGACGCGCGCACACACAGCGCACCCCCTGCACGCCGCACACCCTCGCTCCCTTGCTCACACACACGCACACCCTCAGCCTGGCCGAGCAGGAGCCACTGACCATTTTGCAAGTGCCCTGACCAGCTGCAGCGTGGTGGGCGCGAACATCCCGCGCTCCCTTTTGGAGCTTTAGTCTAGGAGACGACGACGAGGGAAGAAGGTGGGCTCGGACGCAGCCCAGGGGCCGGGCGCTGGTCGGGCCGTTTTCCTGTCAGAGCCGCTCCCCGGGACGGGCGCGGGCCTCGGCTGAGAGTAGAATAAAGAGGAGCGGCCGCAGCCGCCGCGTGAGGACGATGGGAACTCCCCTATTTACAGCTCTGGAAACAAATGGATGGAAGTCCTGAATGGAACAACTGCTTACTTCATCTGCTTGGAAAAATCGTCCAGAGGAACTCATATTTGGCTACTCAGAGCAGTGATGGGGGTGTCCGTGACGTGGCAGGGGGAAAACAGACAACTGAAACCTCCCGTGTGAACTGCAAACTGTGACCAAGCAAGGGGAAAACGATCTGTCTCTATTTCTTGCAAAAGGTTTCAAGCATCTGTATCCTAAACTTACTTCTATGTCTTGTACCCAGTTCAGCAGAAACCAGAGGAGAGTCCTGTCTGGGGGTCCCATCGTTATCCCGGAGACCCGCCGCCAGCGGCCTGCCTTCGTTTACCCACATCCCCCTGGAACGGATATCTGTTTGGGGCATTACAATTTATCCTGTAGAACTATGGCCAGATCTCCATCACTGCTTTGCTAATTTCTGGGACTTAACTCGTAGAATCTACATGCAGGGCTGGAATTTATTCCAAGTGTATCTGAAGAAATGACATTTTAAACCGTTTTTTAAATACCTTGATTTAAAAAAATTCCTGTGAAATAGGATTTGATAGGTTTAAAAACATGACAGGTAAGAACTTTCTCTCTTTCTAGTCCCTTGACACCCGTTTTGGGGAAAGTCAAAGAGAAACAGGACTCAGGAGGAAGGAGAGATTGAGGACCCGTGTGTCCTTTGGGGCTCTCAGGCGCTAGGCGGGCGGCTGCTTTCGGGAGAGGCGCAGCCCTCGCTCCTGGACCACGGGGCCAGTGGCTGGGGAAGCTTCTGGGGCGCGCGCGGGGAGGCGGCGCTGCGCTCCACCTGCTCAGCCCCGGACGCAGCCCGGGGGCGAGGCGTCGAGGGACCACCCCAATTCAATATTGGGATTTTTAATAAACCAAGGAATGGGATTTTAATTATTCAAAACCCAGCTCCTCTGGGTCAGAATGCTGTTGGGATGGTCCTGGTCACACAATATTAAAGAGACCGATCGCTAAGAGGACAGGAAAAGCATCCGAGACCGCCGTTGCAATTACGAATGGACCAGACTTGGTAGCACAGGACATTGATTGCTGGTGCCCAACTGGACCCTCCTCCCCTCTCCCCATCCCTTCCCCCACCCGAGGCAGGCTCCCGCGGCGGCCGGGACCTCGCGTCCCTGCAACGTGGCGGGGGCTGCATTTTTCATGAGCCCAGGGTGAACAGGTGCGAAGTGCGCTGGGAGCATCCGGCCAGCGGCCGGACGCGGGGAACATGGAGAGCGAGCGCGACATGTACCGCCAGTTCCAGGACTGGTGCCTCAGGACTTACGGGGACTCAGGCAAGACCAAGACGGTGACCCGTAAAAAATACGAGCGGATCGTCCAGCTCCTCAATGGCTCCGAGTCGAGCTCCACGGACAACGCCAAATTTAAATTCTGGGTCAAATCGAAGGGCTTCCAGCTGGGCCAGCCGGACGAGGTCCGCGGGGGAGGCGGCGGCGCCAAGCAAGTGCTCTACGTGCCTGTCAAGACCACGGTGAGTGACTCGCCTTCCTCTGTTATTTGTCTCCGGAGCAGCCCGGCGGGGAGGGAGGAAGGAGAGAGGCGGGAGAGAGGGGGAGCCGTGAGCCGCCGTTGGCTCGTGTGCCCCCTACCTTCCTCAACCCCCTCCCCAAGTCGTCCCTACTCGCATTAGCCAGGCGCGTTTTCCCCACTGTGGAGTCTTTGTGGTCCTTTATTTTAAAGCGGCAGCGCACCTCCAGAGCTGGCCGCCCTCCCCGCCTCGGGCTCCCGGACCAGCTGCTGGAGCTTCCTTCCCCGGGTCGGGCGGCGTCTGGCGTCCTTGGGCTGGGCCATTGTCCCATGTCCTTCGCTGGGCGCCTGGCGCGTGTCCCAACGCCGCCACCGCGCAGAAAGGCCAGGCTGCAAGCCCGGCCGCACGCTCGGAGAGCAGACGAGTCTGATCGATAGTCTACAGTGTCTCCTTATTGGCATAAAGCCCGAATGTGGCGCTAGCGGTGGATGTCGGGTTTTCCCCAGGACACTATCAGGTTTTAGCGTTCGATCGCCGCCTGGGAGGCACTGGGCAGCCAGAATGCCTCGATCACTCCCGGAGATCGTTGCTGTGACTGTTAAGATTGTAGATAAGGTCCTGGAGAGTCCTCCTCCCCGCCCCCCCATTCCCTTCCTCACTTCCCCCAGTCACAGATAAAGCCGCAGCTAGAAGATGAACAACAAAGAGGGTTGGGTTTAGGCGCTTTCAAATGGTGTGTGTATTTGTTCCTCTTTCTGGGGTGGCTCTAGTTTCATGGCGTTAAAGCTCTGTAGCCCAGGGACCGTGAGGCACTGGCATTGGGAGCCCAGTGCATCTCAGCCTCACGCTGCAGAAGCCAGTGGGGCTGGGGAGCGGCGGCAGTGTCGATTTCCTTCCCAAGAAGATGGGAACTGTGGGCTACAAGTAGGATGGCAGATCTGATGCACGAGACCTTTCTGCATCACGCCACGGTGGGTACTCGTCTGGAGTAGGGATGGGGGAGGCTATCTGGCATCCTTTGTATTTTTGCCTTGCTTTGGGATTTCTTGAGCATTTCCTTCGTTATCCCTCCCGTACTGGCAACTGTTTCCCCGTGCAGTATTCCTGGAGGATGCTAGAAAGGAGACGTCTTGAAAGCTATTCTATCTCTAATGGAGGTATATTCAATTGAAAATATGTGCATGAAAAGTTATTTTAAAGCATTATTTGGAAGGCTCTTTTAGGTTTCGAGATCAGTTTACGGTTTCCTGAGATTAATTAGAAATAGTTGTTTGAAGGATGTGTATTTATTTTAGAATTTATATAGAAATTGAGAAACGAAAATAAAGGTGAAATGAAAACACATGAAAGTTCTGTGTTTTTTTTTTTTAAACAATGTACTATTGTTGGAAGATTTCTAAGAGATGGATCTATAAATGTGTCTTCTGCTTTAACATGTGGCACTACTAAGGACAATGGTGAGATTATTGTCTGGCTTTACTAAGCAATGAGGACTAGATTGGCATGAATTAGATAGAACTGAGGTCTATTTACATCTGGATGAGCCAGAAATCTGGTACACAGAATCAAGTGCTTTGATTAATTTGTATTGGGAATAATATCAAGAAATAATGTAGAAAAATATTTTTTTTTGTTAGAGTCCAAAACATAAATATGTATTTTCTTTTGGACAATACTGAGTAAACTGAATGGATAAAATCATTTAAGATATCTTTACTTAAGGTATGATTTCATAATATATGTTTTAGAGGAACTCTGCTAGTTGGGAAGTTTATTTTTCATTCCTTTTTATGTTAAACTTAGGTCCCTCTATTTAACTGTCAGATAGCTTCACTTGGGCATTGGTACAATGAGTTTATACTCATGGATTTGACTACATCCACTATATGTCTTAACATGTGTACTTTTAAAAGATAAACTATTTTAAATAACATAAATTCAGAACAATTTTAGAGATACTAAGATCATCATAAATCTCATTTATTTAAACTAGCATTCATGCATTCATATACCACTATTTTCTGTCAAAATTTTATGCAGATTTGCTAAAGAATTACTGCTAAGCCATCCAGTATGGAGTGACAACTCCAGGGACGACATTAAAGTAACACGTGTTTCTCTTTTCAGTAAAGATTCCATATATTTATGGGAGAGAATGTAATTCATCAGGTGATACTTAGATAATGGTTTCCATGTAGTATTTAAGAGCTCTGCTTTTCATTCATGCCTGTTTTGAAATATTAAAGAAGTTTTTAATTTGTGAACTCTTCTATTGCTATTTATAAAATTTTTATACTGCTCCTGACATAGAATTATAGGCTCCTCCTTCTTTGAGAGACAGCCAATCATCATTTCAATGAGTTAAAAAATAAATAATGGACCCCCCCTTTTGTCATGTGTTTCCCCACATCTCAAATTATTCCTTCCTTAGCAACATGTTGATTTTTCTAATGGTAGGAGTACAGTCACCAAGAAGGCAAAAATATATTTTCTATTAATTCCAAGGCATATATTTGTCAAAATAAAATACTGTATTTGAATGATATTTTTGTGTTTACTAAGAATCATTCTTAGCTGCTTGAGGTTTGAGGGTTCGCGGTTAGCTTTACTGTCAGTAAGAGATGCTTTGCTCCTGATGTTGCAGTAATCCACTGCTGCTGATAATTAGACATCATTACTACTGCGAAAAGGGAAAGAGAAAAGGGGAGAGGACAGGCTGGGGCTAATTAACTACTTTAGTTTAATGAAAGAAAGAGAGACTGATGGCACCTGGGAGGTTATACTAGAACAGAGTAGACACACCACATAGACTTAATTGAAACAAGACTATCTTTAAGTCTCATAGTTAAAGAAGCTTGGTTCTACTCTTATTTTCCAAAAATAAGAGATGTAGCTTTGCAACTCTCTTCACCCTGAAGAGTTAACTGATGATAAAATCAAGCAAGTTACAACTGATTTAAAAATATTGACTACTGGAAAGGATAAATATGTCCTTTAATATTTGTCCCGCTCATGTCTAAACCTGAGGGGACATATCTGTCACTGATGTTTAGACTGCTTTTTGATGTAGGAGATACTGTTTGGTCACCAAGCAACAACATCCGGTAACTCAGCCATTTTAGGTCTGGTGCGGGTCCTGTGCTTTTGTGCGACCGCCTTTACTGCACACGCACGCGCATATGCAGTTCATTCAGCAACCCATCTGCTTTTTAGATAGTACCAGTTATTTTTATACATTCTTTCATTAAAAGTGTCAGAAATTTAGGAGAATGAAATGATGAATGACTAAAACAGTTCCAAAAAAGATATAGCAAATGGTTGACATTGATTATATCCAACTTTTAAGCAGTGATAGTTTTAAATTCACTTAACTATGGTTACTCTATTTTATTCATTTGATGGTTCTAGTTTAGTTTGTTTTTAGAAGCTTTTGATACTGATCAGTGTTTTCTGGCAACAATTAGTGGAAACATCACACTTGCAATTTAAAGTACCAGAACACGTTATACCATTTGATCTTGTGAATGGTAAACTTAGAAAATGAGCAGAACATTTATTAAACACTCTTTTTAAAAAGTCTGCTGCATGGTATAAAACATTAGGAATTCGGCAAGCTCATGCTTTTTCTTTCAATATTAAGCAAAGAAAGTAATGAATATGAATATTGAAACTGTATAATCAAATGATATGAGGAATACTTTACTTGACCTATATTTGTAGGAACAGACACAAAGGTCTAAATTATGCCTTTCTTATATATATTTTTTCTTATATTTATTCTAATACACATTATAAAATGAATTTCCAGAAAGAAAAATGCATTATCTTTAGTTGTGTCATTTACAAATGATTTATTCAGTTCTGCAATCTGTAGCCTCAGATTTCATATTGTTCTTCCTATGCATACTACTGATTACTGTACAGTGATTATAATGAATATTCATGGGCTGATTCATAACAGTAACTGTTTTTGTACTTTTTCTGACTGTGGTTTTGGTCATAAATCTTTTGTGCTACATCAGAGTGAAAGAAATAATACTCCATGAGGAGTCATGTTTATGTTTCCACCTGGCCTAACTTTATGCCTAACGCACATATCACGTATATTAGGCCTTAGTCTGGAATCTGCTACAGAGCCAGTTATTTATTATGATACTTCATATCTGTGACAGAAAGACAAATCATCATAGTAGTCATTGAGATAGAAACACATTTTTTCTTATACAGTGAGCATTGCTATTGATAGCCAATGCATTTTTCTCTTCATAAAAGTACTTTGGGAGATCCCGTAGCATAGGATTTGGGAGTCAAATAAATCCCAAGAGTAAATATCAGCAATATGGCTTATTAGCTAACTTAGTGGTTTCTTGTGAAGAGTAAATCATCCATGACAAGTCCCCAGCACAGGTCAGCTCTCAGGGAACAGTGGGTACCATTAGTAAAGGCCACTCTGGCTTGAGTATGAAGAGGCAGGATATTTTCTCTGAATATAAGGAAGAAATATGAATCACCCTGTTAATGTATGAAGACTATCCCACACTTATTTCTTGAGATTCCAATTTTTGATTTTTTCATTGGTTTTTCCTCATCCTATTAGTAGCCACAATAAGGAGATGGGACAAGATTTGGCACTTGTATATATTTATTCTATAATCTTCCTTTGTCTGCTGGGATTCTACTCCCCACAGGTTTACTCTGTAGACTCACTGCATAAGATGGAGGAAGGATGAATAAGAAAATACAGGCATATGGCAGGAGAACTTTCAAGGGCTGTAATCCTGGCTCTGACATTTAGTACAGTTGTGGGTCAGCTAAAGTTTAACTAAAAATGTAGTTTCTCCTTTATAAAATGTTTGTATTAATACTGGTCTTACTAGTTTTGGATAATTAGTAGTGTATATAATACACACTAACATATACTATATATACATATATACACATATATACACATACACATACATGCACATACACATAAGCATGTGGTGTATGTAGCATATTCCTGT